ATGACCAATTTCCGTTCCGAATTTGGATTGCCGACCTTCATGAAAGTTGTTCCATTTGGAATGAACTATCTAACTGCCAATTTTCAGCTCTTTTGACCATGTGTAGCATAGAAAACAGTTCGCACTCAAAACTGACCATTTGTGCATTGGCCAGATTTCGTAAGTGATTGTGTTTGGTCATTTGGGAATGAAGCCTCCAGTTTCAGTTCTGGATGTCTTCATAACAGTTGTTGTTCATCCTTTAAGCTTCGATTTGGCATCTCATACGCCTTAATCCGATATTCGTAGCTCAACTTATGGGTAAACTAGAACTGAGTGTCAAATCTGCCGTTTCCGCTAACGGCCGTTTCCGTTTCCGTCCGTCATATTTACGTGCGCGCTTGTCGTTTTTGCCGTTTTGCTTGTTTTAGGCACAATAGTAGCCGTTTGCGATTTTATGTGACACAATCTTCTATGTCAGACGGTGGTGAGCTGGGCGAAACTGGTGGGGCCCACTACTAGCTGTTCATTTCGATCCAACTTCGTACTTTTGCTATTTCAGTTTCTGAGTAAGTATTCAGGCCAGTTTGGTGTGTTTTTCTTTGCTATGTGTTTGAGATGTGTGAAAAGGGTACTTAGGCGAGAGTGTACTTTATCGCACTCGACCTAAACCCTAATTTGAATGTATAATTGTACTTGGCATATGTATATGAACCTTTTGGAACCAAAACCCTTGAGCTTGTGGCTCGGGGCGACTTTCGAGTAAAGTTTGTGAAGTTTGCAAAGTTTGTGAGTTCGTGGGCCCGATCTAAGACCTGTATGGACTATTCGAGCCGGTTAGGGCTTGGTCGAAGTCAGTCCAACTTAGTCTGAGGTCACCAAGTTTGTAGGTTCATGTTATGAACCAATTTTGTGAATCCGGTTCACCAAGAAGGTGACCAAGTTTGTGACCCGAGCTTGTGACTCAAGCTCAAGTTTGTGATTTCGTTCGCCCGGACAAGTTTGTGAGGTGACTGGCCAGTAAGGGTGATAAGGTGTCGGTGGGTGTACAAGTGAAGTTCTACGGACCATTGAGTGTGGTCGACGGAGTGTCGGCAGGAGATCACGCATGGCATATGAATTGGCTTTGGAGCCACCTGTATCCTTATTATATGATGTTGTTCTTTTCTGCTTTTGCTTTACTTTTATTGTGTAATTGTTGCTACGTGAAATTTATGCTTTCGCCCCTGTTTACTTACTAAGCATATAACTTACCCCTTTCCTTTTGTTTTCCTTAGCAGGGGCCGACGCGGGGACTTTTGGCTCGTATACTAGTATAGGTAGATTGGCTTGTAATAGTTGAACAGTTAGGATGTTTGTTTTTGTTTTGGTGGTTTGTATAAGGACCCTTCTTAGGGTCTACCTTTTGCTGGTTATTGTTATAGTATATTAGAGCGGTTTGGCTTGATGCTTTTGAAGATGTAAATAGACTTTTGGTGGTTGTATATATTATGAATCGTGTTCTTGTGGCTTAGAAGAGTTTTATTAGCCTTAAGTTTTGAGTCCTGGCGCGAGCTAGGCAGGCGGCCCGCCGATACCCTTGGGTTCGCCCTTGGGAGAAGTGGGGTCGTCACATAATATTATAAACTCAAAAGAGTTTTGGATACCTGCTTCCTACGTTCGTCCGTTCACCCTACAGCATATACTCTCATGACCGAGCCGCATTGTGACGCCCCACCTTTCGGCAGCTCAAGACCCCACAATGACAACGTGTACCACACACTAACTGACTTTTAAATATTGTTTGTACACAGTGGCAGAGCCAACACCCTATAGGCTATAGTTAGAGGGCTCAATTTTATTTTTTATAGTACATGAAATGAAGTGATAGTACAGTTAAAACCGATTGATGTTTTAGTTAAACGTATAGTTTTGTTTTTAAGTTTAATTGGTTTTGAAGTTGATGTTGTTCTTAAATTTAGAAGTGAAATCATTCTCTCTATTTGAATTTGAAAACTTTGAAGGAATTTATTCTTAAAATAACTTCCACTATTAATTTAAAAGAGATCTAAAATTCTTGTAGAATATAATGCTTTTTTTAATTGTTTGGGGGCAATCAAGATGTAATTTTTAAAGTTTTTAAATTTCCTAAACCTATTTTGTCAAATTTAAGTGGGGGAAATTAGATACATGTGGCTCCCCATGTTTATAAACATTGTAATGAAGCTGTGTATCTTGTGTAAATTTTTTATTTTTTTACTTCTCTTTTGCAAAACATTCTGAAGTTAGGAAAATGACAATTTGCCAATTTGGTTCTTCACATTTTTGAAAAAAACTTTTTTAGTCCTTCGCATTGAAAATTAACCAAAATAGTCTCTCAGATATAAAAATGTCTACCTATATTAGTCCCCATGCTCATTTTCGCTCATTTCTCCTTCATTTCCAATATGTCTCAAGAGGATGGATCTCTATCATTTTCAACCCCTATTTCTACAGTTTCCATTCGTGAGGTTACTTGACCACCACCCCAGTTTCTCAGCCACGGAGGGCTTCTTTTTGTTTTGCTACTAGACATGGATAGAATTCCCCAAGCTCAATTTCATCTCTTTCTTCGATTATTATGTTAATTCGATGGTAACATCATTTGCCACTTGAGTAACTATGGCAAGATCACTGATTTACATTCTTGCAATGGTTTAATAGCTCTCGTATTCCATTTTTACCCTTGAAATTCTGGGTTCATGAGGGAGGTGTGCATTTTTGGCTGGAGAAATGAGTGAAAATGAGTTTTGAGACTAAACGAGTAGATATTTTAAAATTTGAGTGATTATTTTGGTTAATTTTGAATGTGAGGGACTAGAAAAGCTCTTTTCGAAAATATTAAGGACCAAATTGGCAAATTTTCCTTAGGAAAACACAAAAATTTTCAGTATTTGAGCATCTTCTCTAAAATATAGGCTATTGGAAAATTTATTGAGATGAATTTGCAAAATAAAAAATAATTAATTACACTTCAAAAATTTAAAATATATTGTATGATAAAATATTTATTCCTTAATTAAGAAAAGAACATAATGCTTCAAGCCCTGGGCATAAAACTTTTGTATCTAATCTTAAATGGTATTCCTTTTTATGCATATAATATAGCAAAAGCGTGTATCTTGTGGACTTTTAGTCCACCTAATTTATGCAAATCGGTTCTCTCAAGTCATAAATCGTATGTTATTTTGAAGGATCAAAGAAACAATCAGATAAAAAAAGTGCTTCTACAAAAATTTAACTTAAATGGATTATAATGATAAAACAAATATACAGAATAAAACTTTCAAAGTGCATGTTGTAAGGATCGAAGACAACCTAAGAGGGGGGTGAATTAGGTTATCAAAAAACTAGCCAAAATATAAGTCACTTTTTCTAGAACTTGCTTTCTTTTTCTAAAGAACCTCACAAAGAAACAATCAATGGACTAGCACAAGTGATTGTGAGTATAAGAAATAAACAATATATATATTGCAAGATAGTAAGTAAAGGGATAGAATGGCAGACCAAGATTCAAACTTGACTTAAGTTTGAATATCACTTTATATACCAAGTTTCTTCAAGTTGATCAACTTACAACCAATCTCTTGTGTACAAAGGAAGGATCACTTCCTCCTTGCCTCAAGTCTCACTCGATCAAGCAAGGAAGTTTTACAATCACTCAGATAACCCTCACAAAGCTACACTATTGAAGAAACTGAATCACACTTGAAAAGCTAAATGAAGATTACACAACTAAGAGTACAAATCTTCTTTTTGGACTATTCTTACACTTGAATCACTCAAGATCTGATGTAGACTTAATGTGCAAAGTTATTTTGAAGTAGTTGACTATTTTCTATTTATAGGAGACCAAAAAATTCTTCAATTAATGCTGTCAACGGATAGAAGGCAGCTGAAGAGTCAACTAGCCGTTGGTGGTGTCGGACGTCTGGTACTCTGATTTTCTGCGTCCGAACGAAGACAGCGAGTTCAAGACATTCTCTTGAAATTCTTAGGACGTCCGGTCATTCCATAATGTACGTCCGAAGGTAAGATGTAAACTTGCAAATCCTTCTTTATTTCTTTCGGACGTCCGGTGCTCTCAGTGTATTGCGTCCGAAGTACCGTAACGTTTGTCGGACGTCTGGTACAGAGGTATTGTGTGTCCGATTGAGGTCAATGATCATAGAAGACTTGACTTATTGTCTTCGGACGTCTGAGTGTGAGTTCTTCAAGCGTCCGAAGCTACTCAATGGTTGTCGGCCGTCCGATATGGTCCTTTTGTGCGTCCGACAGTTATTTCAGCAATATGTCAATCTTTGATCCTGTTTTGGTTTCAAGTCTTTGACCTTGTTTTTATTCCAATTTCTGAAACAATCTCTTCAAAGAATATTAATAACATCCAATTGTTTTGTAATCATCAAAAGTTATGGACTGAGATATACAATCTCTCCCTTTTTGATGATGACAAAACATTGGAAGAAGCAAAAGAAATTTAGAATATTGATTGTAGCTCCCCCTTGCATAATGCGAGAGTATCCGCAACTTCCCCTCAAACCGACTCCCTCTTACTTATACATTCCATGTTAAAAGTATTCGCAGCTCCCCCTCACTTATAAGTTTCATAACCATTTTCTCCCCCTTTTTGTCATCATAAAACATCCATATGATCAATATTTGTACCAAACAGATTTGTCAACATTCAATAGGAATTATCAATCAGACGAAATATAACCAACAAAAATCCAAAATCAGCATCCAGTATCAGCATCCATCCAGAATCAGCAAAATCCAAACAGGCAGTAATCAGCAAAAAAAACCAACCAGAATTATTCATAGCAAAGGATAAATACATCCATTCATAGAAGAAACATCATAAAAAAAAACATCAGTTAACAGAATAGCACCAGTTTTACAGACCAATAGAGGAATATGATCCTTAATACATAGCATACTAAAGGATTTTCAGTACAAAAGATGAACTATTGTTCTAATGATGAAGTGCAGTGTCCTAGTAGTGCCTAGATGGTGATTTTAGACGATCCAGGCTTTCTCCTGGTTAGACGAAACTGCTCAGGATCCACATGGTCTTCTTCCTCAGTCTCTTCATCATCTTCTTCAGTTTCCTTCTCAGTTATTGGAGCCTTGCCTTTATCTTTGGGCTGAGAGCTCGAAGCATGTGCTTCTGGAGTGGCTTCAGTACCAGGAGTATGCTCTGTGGGTTGAGGTCTTGGCTCTTTTTGATGAGCATTTTCATTGAATTCAGAGATTAGAGGCACAAGGAGATTCCTTTTTTCATTAAAAAAAGACTGCTGGGTAGGGGACATGGTCATCATGAGACCATCTTCAATGAGCAGAACATGCTGTTTGAGGTCCTCAAGCAAGGAGATAACCTCAGAATTAGAAGATTGTGACTTGCTGGCTGATTTTCTAGGGTGGATGGTGAATGGAGAGACATACATGGATTGATCACGAGGAGTCCTAGGAGAGACAAGGGTTTCGTGAAGGTTCTTTCTCCTAGTTTCTGCAACTGTCTCCTTATAACACCAATGGCCCTCAAAAAATTTTAGATTCTTCCTTTCAAAATATGCTTGTGAGAAAACTGTTGAGGCACTGTCTTTGGGTGATTTTCCAGTAAAAGGGATTTTAAAATGGGAAAAGATAGGAGTCAAAAATTTTTCATAAGAGAGCTTCCTATGACTATCAGTGCTAATTTTGAGCAGAAATTTACACATCACAAACCCAAAGTCAATTCTGATTTTTTCAACAAAACAGTAAAATAGATAAAGCTCCATTTTGTTTGCATCAGTTCTGTAGCCATCAGTGGGCACCACCAGATTTGAAATGATGGTAAAAGTGATCAAGTTCTGAGGGCTAAGATCTTCTAATCTTGCCTCAGTAAAAGTGTTGAAATGCGATCGAAAATAGGTCATGAGTTTAGCAATGTAAAAATGATGATAAGTGGAAGGATATTCCTCATATGAAAAGAAATTTGCAACTTTTCCTTTAAAACCATTTTCAATACTTGTTTTCATAATAGAGTTCACAATATTAAGAGTTAGTGTGATGTCTACAGAGTTGACCCTAGAGGTGAGTTCTGTGTGTGAATTATCCTTTCTAAGATTTGCAAAGAATTGATGAAGCATATCAGGGTAAAAGGTATTGGAGATGGACAGAAGATGAACCCATTTTTGGAACTTAAAAAGCTTAATGATAAGTTTGAGGTCAAGCTTACGAAATTCAAAAGAAGAAATTGTTCTTTGAGTGATGAATCCTTTTGTGAGACCAACTCAAATCTGTCTCTGGCCTCATCATCAATGAATTTTGGCAGAGGAGTAGGTTCCTTGGCAGGCTGAGTCTCTGGTGCCCTTGCAGAACGTTTTCTTTTTGCAGTTTGCTTGACAGACGACTCAGTATTCTGAACCTCAGACGTTGTCCGTGGAGATTTTCTGGTAGATGGTTCAGGAGTGTACTGATCCTCAGCAATTTTCTCTGCATTAGATTGAGCAGAGCTTCTCTTTTGGGTAGATCTTTTTCTTTTCCCAGGTGATTTCGTGACAGTTACTTCAGCATGGGTGGGCTCTTCAATTTCTTCTTCATTCCTACTTACTGGATTTTCTTCAGAGTGATGCTCTTCCATCTGCTCATCAGATGGCTCAACGGTTGGAGCATCTCGTTTCCTTTGAGCAGTTTGCTTCGCCTTTCCACCTTGATTTGTAGATTTCTTTTTGGATGCTTTGGTGGAGGGTTCCACAATTTCAATATCCTCATCCCTAAGTCTAAAAAAAAGAGTGTCCGACCCCCGCAGAATCACCTCTAAATCTAACCATGATTTAATGTAGTTGGATGTTAATGTAGGAGGTGGTGCAAAGTGTATGAGAAAGATGAAGAATGCAATATGAACTAATGTTGATGCACGAACCAACAACAAGGAGTAAGTTTTGAGAGCTTAGGGCTTCAGATGTGAATTGGGAATTACAAGGTAGTTGGAAGAGGTTATTATGTCCAGATAACGGGCAATAGAAGTGTAATGGTGTCGATTGAATCAATTTCTTGGAACTTGATTAGAGGAGAGAGTAATTTGAATTTTGAATTTTGAGAGAAAACTGAAGGGTTGCGTCCGAGACTAAAAAAGTAAATGAACTTAATAAGGTAGGTGACTTCCTTATATGAAGCAATTTTTGAGTGTCGGACGGCCGAACGAAGTGACGCGTCAGACGCAATCGTCCGAACCAGAATTTTTCTGAAAAATAGATGAAGAACACTGTCGAACGTCCATTCTAATCCATCGGACGTCCGATAAAGAGTGACTAAAGAGAAAATTTAAAGAATTTTTTCTGAAACACCCAGTTTTGTTCTCAGATACACAAATTGATCCAATGGAAGGGCTTTGGTGAGGATATCAGCAATTTGATCTTTAGAACAAACATATTGAACACAAATTTCACCCTTGTGGACAAGATCGGGAATGAAGTGATGCTTAATGTCTATGTGCTTGGTCCTAGAATGTTGAATGAGATTTTTTGACAAATTGATGGCACTAGTGTTGTCACAAAACATAGGCACACAATTATATACTAAACCAAAATCATTCAATGTGTTTTTCATCCACAACAATTGAGCACAGCAAGCACCAGCAGCAACATATTCTGCTTCGGTTGTAGACAATGAAATAGCATTTTGTTTCTTGCTAAATCAGGATACTAAGCAATTCTGAAGGAAATTACATATACCAGTTGTACTTTTTCTATCTACTCTACAGCCACCAAAATCAGCATCAGAGAATCCACACAAGGGAAGTTCATGACACTTAGGATACCAAAGGCCAAAATTCAAAGTTCCTTTTAAATATCTAAAGATTCTTTTTACTGCATTTAAGTGTGATTCCTTTGGACAAAACTGAAAACGAGCACACAAGCACACAGCAAACATGATATCAGGCCTACTAGCTGTTAAGTAAAGCAAGCTACCAATCATACCTCTATACTTCTTTTCATCAACTTTTGTACCTTCTTCATCTTTGTCAAACTTGATAGATGTGCACATGGGTGTTCCAACTTGCTTTGAATCCTCTATTCCAAATCTTTTTAGCAGTTCCTTGGTGTATTTTGTTTGATTGATGAATGTTCCATCTTGGATTTGTGTCACTTGGAGTCCAAGGAAGAAATTTAATTCTCCCATCATGCTCATTTCAAACTTTTTTTGCATGATTTCGGAAAAGTCCTTGCACAAGCTCTCATTAGTAGCACCAAATATAATATCATCTACATATATTTGTATAATTAGAAGATCACGTGAACTTTATTTAGTGAAAAGAGTAGTATCCACTATACCTCTTTTGAAGCCATTTTCAATTAAAAAACCACTCAAACGTTCATACCATGCTCTTGGAACTTGTTTTAAACCATATAAAGCTTTTGAGAGTTTTAAAACATGATTTGGATAAATTTCATTTTCAAAGCCAGGAGGTTGATCAACATAAACATCTTGATCTATAAAACCATTTAAGAAAGCACTTTTAACATCCATTTGAAATAATTTAAAATTCTTGAAACATGCAAAAGCCAAAAACATTCTAATAAATTCTAACCTAGCTACGGGTGCAAAGGATTCATCAAAATCTATTCGTTCTTCTTGAGTATATCCCTTAACTATCAATCTGGCCTTATTTCTAACTACCTCACCTTTGTCATTTATTTTGTTTCTAAATACCCACTTAGTGCCAATGATAGGATGATCTTGTGGTCTAACTACTAATATCCAAACCTTGTTTCTTTTAAATTGATTTAACTCCTCTTCCATGGCTAAAATCCAGTTCTCATCTTTTAATGCATCAACAATATTTTTGGGCTCAAAATGTGAGACCAATGCAAAATTATCTATTAGTTGTCTAGAAGAGGAACGTGTTCTGACCTTTTCGGATGGATCACCAATGATAAGTTCCTTAGGATGGTTTTGGACAAATTTGCAAGCTCTTGGAAGATCATTAGGAATGGTAGTGTCTCTGTCATTGTCTTCCCTAACTGGACTGTTTTGATTTTCACCTTCCTTTGAATCATTTTCTGATGAAGTTGTGCCTTGGTTACTGATTGTTAACTTCTTCAGTTCTTCTTGAACACCTGCATCATCATCTTCACCACAACTCATGGAAATGTCACCATTAGATTTATCGAAAGTGATATGTATAGCTTCCTCTATAACTAGAGTTCTATGATTATATAAAGCCTCTCTTATTTTCACAGTATCCCAAGAAGATCCCCTCATCAGATTTTTTATCAAACTTACCAAGATGCTCCTTGATGTTTAGAATGAAGCATTTGCAACCAAAAACTTTAAAATAACCAACAATAGGCTTTTATCAAACAACAGTTCATACGAAGTTTTGTTCAAGATTGGTCTTAAAAGAACTCTGTTCATGATATAGCAGGCAGTGTTTATAGATTCAACGCAAAAGTACTTTGGTAAATTGCATTCATTGAGTATGGTTCTAGCAGCCTTTTAAAGAGTTCTATTTTTCCTTTCAACCACTCCATTTTGCTGGGGAACTCTAGCAATAGAAAACTCATGTGTAATGCCATTATTGTCACAAAATTTAGCAAACCACAAAAACGAAATTCTGTGCCGTTGTCACTTCAGATTTTTTGATTTTCACACCAATCAGATTCTGAACCTTACCAAACAGAGAAACAAAATTTTTGAAGGCATCATCTTTATGTGCAAGAAACATCATCCAAGTGTATCTAGAATAGTCATCAACAACAACAAAACAAAATCTTTTGCCACCTAGGCTTGTGGTTTGGGTAGGACCAAAAAGATCAAGATGTAAGAGTTCTAAGGGCTTTGTAGTAGAAACACATTTCTTGGGTTTTAAAGATATCTTGACTTGTTTTTCAAATTGGCAAGCATCACAGATACGGTCTTTACTAAAGTTGAGTTTTGGAAGCCCTCTAACCAGTTCCTTTTTGAAAATCTCTTTTAGCAAATCCATATTGAAATAACAAAGCCTTCTGTGCCACAACCAGGGATCCTCATTTGCTACTTTGAGACAACTGAGGCTTGAAGAATCATCTTTTTCAAGAATAACTACATAAATGTCATTAACTCTTTTTTCTTTGAAAACAATGTTGAACATTGAGTCAAGAACAAGGCATTCATGTTTTTTAAATAACACAAACAGGTTCCTATCACATAATTGGCTAACACTAAGCAAGTTATAGCTCAAATTGCCAACTAAAAGGACATTATGAACAAAAGTTTGACCATTCTTACCAACATCACCAATTTCAACAGTTTTGGCTTTATTATCATCTCCAAAAGTTACATTTCCACTTGCTTTTGGCTTGAGTTTGATGAACTGTGATGCATCACCGGTCATATGTCTTGAGCATCCACTATCTATGAACCATTTTGATTCTTTAACAATGTTTACCAAGTTCACCTACACAAAAATCCACAGGATAATATTTGGTACTCATTACTTTTTGGGTCCTTGAGAGTTAGCATTATGTCTAACCATCCACATGTATCTCATACCATTTCTCATGTTTCTCTTAACATGACAGTTGCTATTCATGTGACCAAATTGACAACAAAAGCTGCACATAGTTGATGGATCATTCAAATAAACTGGTTTAACAAAACTGACTTGACATCTCCTATAGATGGTAAAATCATTTGCATGATAATTTAACTTATTCTAATGAGTGCTAGAGTAAGATTTTTTAACATTCCTTTGAAAGTAATTCCGTTTCTGATATTGAAGCCACTGGCCAAGATCATTCATTCTTCTTTTCAAACAATTTAGTTCATTTTTGAGTATGCCACAGACATTTGTTTTTATGTCGAGTTTAGCATGCAAATCTAATTCAATCCTTTTCAGATTCTCATTTTCATTTTTCAAGTGTTTGTTTTGTCGATAAAGATTTGCATTGTCTTGAATTAAAAAACTGATCTTCTGTTTTAGTTCCTTGTTTCTGACATAGGATTCTTTCAAACTGTTATGCATCTTTTCTAAAAATGAATTAACATCATCATCAGATTCATTGTCACTATCAGTTAGAGAGTTACACGTAGTTATCTCTTCATCACCAATGGCCATGAAGGCCACTTGGACAGATTCCTCTTCTTTTTCGACTTCACCTTCTGAATTGTAGTCATTCCAGGTGATATGAAAATTGTTGAACCTTGATTTTCGTTCAACCTTGCTCTCCTTCTTCCTTTTCATTGGACACTCATTTGCATAATGTCCAGGTTGACCGCATTCAAAGCACTTATCAGTTTATTTTTTGTTAAACTCTAGTTTCCCTTTATTTCTCAAGTTGTTGGACTGATTCAGGAAAGAATTGCTCGGACCACCTTTTCTGAATCTCCTTTTGTTGAGTATTCTTTTGAAGCCTCTTGTGATGAGTGCGATGTCACTGTCATCACCTTTCATGTCTTCTCCATCCAGGGAAGCTGTATCATCTTCATCTTATGAAACTTTCAAAACAATACTCCTCCTTATCTTTGTGTCTTCTTCTACCTGCACCTTGGATTTGAGTTTCAGCTCATAAGAGGTTAGAGAGTTAATAAGAGATTCAATAGGCAGGATATTTAGATCTTTAGCTTCCTCTATGGCAGTCACTTTACTCTCTCAATCCTTTGATAAGGCAGTCAGAATTTTTCTGTTTTTCTCACCTAGAGAGTAGTTCTTCTCAAACACTTCTAAATCCTTGATAAGATCATTGAATCTGCAGTACATCTTGTCAATATTTTCATGAGGTTCCATCATAAATAATTCATACTTAGTGACCAGGATGGATTTCTTTTGTTCTCTCACATTCTCGCTTCCTTCATGGATTTCTCTAAGTTTATCCCAAATTTCTTTTGCAGATCTGTAGCCTTTGACTCTAATGGACTCATTTGAATCTAGAGCACTATATAATACATTCATAGCCTTGGCATTTAGAGTAAGATGAGTTCTATTTTCAGCAGTCAACTCACTTCTTGTTTTTGGTCTCGGCCTATGAGTATTATCATCAATAATAGAGGCATCATATGGACCCTCATTAACAATAAACCATAACTCAATATCAATTGTAAGAAAATGATCATCCTCTCCTTCCAACTCACATAGTTTGACCCATTGAACATTGGAGGTCTAGTGACAGATTGTCCATCAAAGAACATGGCATTGTTAGTTGTCATTTTTACTCCCAAGCTGATTGAGCTTAATCTCTAGGAGACCAAGCTCTGATACCAATTGTCAGGATCGAAAACAACCTAAGAGGGGGGGTGAATTAGGTTATCTAAAAACTAGCCAAAATATGAGTCACTTTTTTCTAGAACTTGCTTTCTTTTTCTAAAGAACCTCACAAAGAAACAATCAATGGACTAGCACAAGTGATTGTGAGTATAAGAAAGAAACAATATATATATTGCAAGATAGTAAGTAAAGGGATAGAATGGCAGACCAAGATTCAAACTTGACTTAAGTTTGAATATCACTTTATATACCAAGTTTCTTCAAGTTGATCAACTTACAACCAATCTCTTGTGTACAAAGGAAGGATCACTTCCTCCTTGCCTCAAGTCTCACTCGATCAAGCAAGGAAGTTTTACAATCACTCAGATAACCATCACAAAGCTACACTATTGAAGAAACTGAATCACACTTGAAAAGCTAAATGAAGATTACACAACTAAGAGTACAAATCTTCTTTTTGGACCATTCTTACACTTGAATCACTCAAGATCTGATGTAGACTTAATGTGCAAAGTTATTTTGAAGTAGCTGACTATTTTCTATTTATAGGAGACCAAAAAATTCTTCAATTAATGCTGTCAACGGATAGAAGGTAGCTGAAGAGTCAACTAGCCGTTGGTGGTGTCGGACGTCCGGTACTCTGATTTTCTGCGTCCGAACGAAGACAGTGAGTTCAAGACATTTTCTTGAAATTCTTAGGACATCCGGTCCTTCCACAATGTACATCCGAAGGTAAGATTTAAACTTGAAAATCCTTCTTTATTTCTTTCGGACGTCCGGTGCTCTCAGTGTATTGCGTCCGAAGTACCGCAATGTTTGTCGGACGTCCTGTACAGAGGTATTGTGTGTCCGATCGAGGTCAGTGATTATAGAAGACTTGACTTACTGTCTTCGGACGTCCGAGTGTGAGTTCTTCAAGCGTCCGAAGCTACTCAATGGTTGTCGGCAGTCCGATATGGTCCTTTTGTGCGTCCGACAGTTATTTCAGCAATATGTCAATCTTTGATCCTGTTTTGGCTTCAAGTCTTTGACCTTGTTTTTGTTCCAATTCCTGAAACAATCTCTTCAAAGAATATTAATAACATCCAATTATTTTGTAATCATCAAAAGCTATGGACTGAGATATACACATGTAATTGGAGCAAAAAAAGGAAATTTTTCTAAAGATGATAACATATAAGAAGAATGTTATAAAAGGAGCAACAAAAAGAATTAAGTTCCAATAAAAGAATGTTATAAGAAGAAAGTCTCTCTTTATATCATAACTTATTTCATATGAGCTTCAACTTATAGCATATATCTAACATTTGTTGTGTATAATTCCCGAACAAGAATAAAGTTCGCGTCTCTGATTGTCCAATTTTAACATGCTTGCTAAATTGATGGAAAAAGTACTTAATTACAGTAATTCTTACAGTTATATGTTGAGAAATAATTAAGTTACAAAAATTAAGTATTATTATCCCACATTACAAATGAAAACAAGGATTCAAAACCAAGATTAAATCTAAAGTAGGGATTAACAAGTAGACTAGCTGATGAGGCATTGATCTAGTAGTTAAACTTGAGATTCTGAGATTTAAAGGTTTTGGATTCAAATCCTCCCGTCTCTTCCCCACTTCTTAAATTCCACCATTCCCCTACTAGAAATTTTTTTTTTTTAAAAAAAAGAAAAAGTAGATTAATATATTTAGTAAAAAAAATAGAACGCTAAAATTTAGGGCCAAAAATGAAATTTTTTATGGAGAATTTTTGAATTAATATTTGCGACAGCCTACGGCTAATTTAGAGAGAAAAATAAATTTCTTCTCCAAAAGAACATTAATTGCTTCTTCAACCATATATTTGTTTGAGAGGCCTCTAGAATTACACTAAATTTAATTGATAAAAATTTAAATGTCTTTGTCTTGCATATCCATTACTCAGAGAAATTTTTACATGCATAATAATTATGCAAACTGCTATGCAATTTACATTTAAATATTGATCCTAACAAAGATTAACAAGAAATGTGCAATGCTCATTCTCCTATGCTAGTGTAATTTAAATAGCACACTATAATCTACAATAAAAACTCTAAATATTTGTCCATAAATAAATATGTATGTTTAATCAAATAAATTATCTAATCATGGGCAAATTAGGTCGATTCAAAAAGGAAGAAATAGCAAGTGAAAAAATATCCACACTTTCTTAAATAGGCAGTACAATACAAATATGGAGTATGTAAGATTAGATTCCTCTGTCAAATTGCACTCGAATTACCTTTTCGAGACTTATTAGTTTTGCGAGTGGGGACTTTGATGACAAAATAATAGACTTCCATCTTCTATTCCGCCAAGGCGCCGATAAGAAAAGTAGTAGGTAACTAGCTATAGATTACATTTGCTTTACTTGACCGCGTACAACCTCTTCTAATCCTAATTCTAATTCTAAGAGAATAAAAGAGTCATTTGGGGTTTATGCGTAGTATCAAAGCCCATATTAACCATTTAATTCTCTTATCGCTCCCTTTTTTAAGTCCCACTTATCCCCTGCTAGAAATTTTTTTTAAAAAAAAAGTCCATATCAACACCTTGACTAGGTGTCTAAATCTGGTATTTCATCAGACAAGAAAGAGTTAACAGTTAACATGCTTGTAGGTGGCCACTTCCCCTATGGCTGCATGGTTGAAGGAAGCAAAATTAAGAGTTATCAACCTATATAGTAAAAGCGCGAATGGATCTGTTAAGAATGGTGGTGGTTGTGCTGATGTGGCTGGGTTTTATTGGCTGGATAGTGGTCGTCAATCACGTGGGGCTCGCGTGCTTTCGCTAGGAGGAGAAGTGCAATTCTTGCTGTTGTCCAAGAGAAGAAAATGAGGGCCTTCGATTTTGAGAAGAAACCGTTTCTCTGTAGCGTATTTCTCTGGTCGGCAGATGACCAGCTGAGTAAGCTTATGGCGGTTGGTGATGGTTTGATTGATGACAGGTGTTGGGTGATGGGCTCAGTGTGGGTTGCTACCAAAACTTGCCTGGTGTGAATGCAATGGTAGTCCTCTGCATTTGAAATCAATTAGTAACCATAGCAAGTTTGGTAGTACTCCATGTGCGTTTTTTTTTTTTATTTGTTTCCTTTTGTGCAGGTCTTTGACCACCGGGTAAACTAGCAAAGGGAGAGGTCTCCCTCAATTCCTCAGCTCTTGGCTTTTGCAACAAAGCTGTTGGCTGAAGAGTGGCAGAGCTGGTCAATTCACATCAATCACCTCAATCCGTCAATCCGTTGTACTAGAAGCTTCTTTCTCATGGTTTCCTCCTGTTATTCTCTCTTGAGTTTTCATCTTCCTCTCAAATCCACCGTTTCTCCATTTTTTATTCTGTATACATTTTTTTCCCCTTGATTAAATTTTCTCTCATTCTCTGATAAGTTTCATTTTTTTGTGTCGCAGGTTGAGAGGTCAGACTATCAACTAAACCATGAAGAAATGTAGAGATTGTTCTCTAAAGGTGAACACTTTCTCTGTGAATTTTTTTTTTGCTTTTTTTGTACATTTTCTCCGGATTTTTTCCCTTATATCTCCCTAATAAATCTTTTCTGGCCAAGGTATCTGTTGGATAAATAAGAAAGGAAAAAAGGATGCAATCTTTCTGTGTTCGATGGCCGTTTTCTTTCCCGAGATTTGTTATCAACAGATGTGATTTTCTTAGATCTTCAAAAAATTGAAGATGAACGATTGAAGGCATGTTATTTTCTCTTACTATGTAATCAATTTTGTTCTCTCTAAATAATGATTTTAGAGCAGATAAACAACACTCGAACACCCAACATTTACTTCTCTTTTTTTTTCCTCTGCTTTTCAGGCACCTGCAAATCTACTCCTTTTTTTTTTTTCCTGAATGCCTTCTCTATGAGCTAAAGCTCTCAAGAGATTATCAGTAAACTTATTGGTTGATTTTGCTTTCTCTAAATGTTTTTTCCCGTTGCAGTGGAGCTTTCACTGACGCGCTCACTTTGACTAAATCAAACTTGTGCATAGTAATCCAGTGACTTCTAAGGTTTTCTTTTCTATTATTGTGTATATTTTTCTTGGCTGTCATTCTTTATTTTTTTCTTATAGTTTTAGTCTCCAAATATCACTTGATGCTTATTTTTATTTTACTGGTTCTTTTTTATGATTGTGATGGGTCCAGAAAGAGAGAGGGGTCACGAGAAATTACAATTAGTTCATTTTGGTGTTTAATTACTTGTTGATCTTTCCAGTTTCTTCATTTGTTAAAATTGTGAAATTTTTTCACAGAATTTTTGGAAGCCAAAATAACAAAAAAGATGTCAAAATTTGATTTTAGGTGTTATGATACTTTCCCACAAGTCTAGAAGATTGGGGCTATACTGCATTTTATTCTGTGCATATTGGGATATTTGAAGTCTTTTGATCTCTCTCTCATTTGTCTGATTTAATTAGATTTCAGTTGTCAGCCATGTATTTTTCTTTAATTTTGTTATATATGTTTTTTGTT